ACACGTAACGCCACCACCTTACCGCTTCTCCTGTCTTGTGTTCGACGAAGGAACGTGGTTGATGGATAAAGACTTCGTTCCGTACCGTGTACCCGAGCTGTTCCATATCCCACCCGTGAATACCCCTGGCGAGCAAGCATCCTGTATCTCCCCCCCCCCCCCCCTAGGACACGCACTCTTGGAAAAAAAAATACATGCCGACACGTGAAAAATACATCCCTCCCTCCCTCGCTCCCCGCACTAGCGGGAAAAAGCCAACCCTGGTACGCTCCCCCACCTCCCTCTCTACGGCCTTCTCGTCTAACCTCCTCTTGTTTCGCCATCATCATCTCCGACACCAACCCTCAGTCTCAGCCGTGTTCAACGAGAACCATCTTTGCCGCTCTAGCCATGGTCTTTTCAAACTCGGAATTCCACACAAGAACAGACACCACCGCCACCGCGTGAGGAGACAGTACAGGCCAATCTCTTCCCGCCTTGACTGCAACAACAACAACAGCAACAACAACGCACAAACAACAAACGACAACAACACGTCAAAAACGGCAGCAGCCACGGCCCTTTCCTCCGTGTCGTCTACTTCGCAAATGCGAGAGAGCGAGAGACAGGAAAACCAACACACGCAGAATAGGCAGGACTGGACATGTAGACACGCAACAATAGATCAGACCCGGGGCCTCCTTAACTGATCGACCCGCCTACGCATGGTGATACGCAACCCTGCCCGTCTATATGATTCCCAACAGCGCCGCTTTCACGGCCGGCCGGAAAAAAAAAGTTCTCTCCTCACCGTGCTGTTTTTCTTCTTCCTTTCCTCTTTTGAGGATCGAGTGACATAGGTCCAACACTGTCGGCTCACGCAATACATCCTCCTTCCCGCATTGCAAGCCAGTAGCTCTCTCCCTGCCAATCTCTCGCGCCAGGCATCAACCCCGCCTGTTGGGGGCATCGACGCCCAAAGACTCTACTGCTCGATCGACCAAACAAAGCGGAACAAATTGCGATTCTATCTACAGCCTCTCTCTGCAGGAAACAACCCAACGAATGAATATACTCCCTACCTCGAACAACTAAATCTATTGTCCCATCCCGGTTCAGTTGCGCCGCTCCTTCTGTCCGGCCAATCAGCGATCAAGCCTCTCCGCCCGCAACTTGTCGAACGGACAACACGTAAACCCCCTCGCACGGTAGCAGACAACGTGAAACCTAAAAAAAAACACCGTGTCAGGCGGGTTTTTTTTCGGGTCTCCATCGCACCTGTCCCCCAAGACCAGAAACACTCCTCCAATGTCGTGGTTAACGCCATCCGCGTACTCCCTCCTCCCACGATCATTCGTGCCTTGTCTTGACTTGTCTTGTCTACAATGCAGGCCTGCCTTGAAGAAAGAAAAAAAAAAACGGGTTCCTCTTTCCATTTTGCCCAAGACAAGGGGCCAACATAACTACGACTTCTTCTACCGTCGAAAATATCAAACGGGAGGGAGGCGCCCTACCCCGGACATGAGTTTTCTATATTTTCTAGCATGTATATCATATCGGTGGCACAGCCCTCCCCCTCTCCATCGCTGCTGCTGCCTCATCACATAAATCTACCAACCTAAATAAAGAGGACGCCCGGATATCATCTATCAAAACAGGACAAAGGGCCGAAAAAAAAAACCCGAACAGCACGCCCTCTGCTCGTCCTTTGTGGGAAGAGGCAACCGCGCACACGCCTGTCCTACATCCCCTGTGCCAAGACATGGCAGCGGTCGCCTGTCTGCCTGCCGTCCATGCGACCGGACGACGCACCGCTTCCCCTTCCCTCTCCCGTCCCCGCAACGCCGACAAACACAACAGACCACGGAGCGGCACCACAGCGCCTCCGCATGCCAAGCCAACCAAAGCTTGTGCACACGGAACCCGTGTACGTGTGTCTCTCTCTCTATCTCTTTCTATCTCCCGCCTCTGTGTCACCATCCCAGCGGACACAGCAGCAGTAGTGCAACCAACCTCGGCAAACAAAAAAAACAACGGAACGGCCGCGTCGCCGAGCGTTCAACGAGTCGTGACTACCCCTCCCGCACCCCCAACCACCCGCTGCTGCAGCTGTTGCCGCAGCGACGTCGTCGTCGTCGCAGAAACCGCCAGCCCCATCGCCGTAGCGGCCCCGGCGGGGCGGCACATCTCCTCAGACTTCACGGTAGCGGCGTCTACCGCCGTCGCAGGAGCCGGCATCGACGGCACCCTGGCAGCAGCAGCCGGCGCCGCCGCCGCCGCAAGCGAAGAGGGAACACCGCCCACGCCGGGCACCGCCACGGCAGCAGAAGAAGGAGCGGTAGTAGAAGTAGTAGCGGCAGCGGCGGCGGCGGCCGCGGCGGAGGCATGCCGCGCCTGGGCGACGTTAAGATCCCGCAGCTGTCGCAGCGGGCCCGGTAGGTCGAGCGGCGTGCAGATCCGGCAGGTGTTCGGGTCCGGGCACCGGACGAGGTGGCTCAGGAGGCTCTTGCACGGCCGGCACCACCGGTGCTCGCACGGATCCCCGTTAGCGGTGTGACTGTAGAGGGGGCACCGCAGGAAAAAAGAAGGGGGGGGCGTAAGTGAATTGTTGCTTGCTGTCAGCCCAAAATTCAAACATGTTTTTCCCGATGTAAGAATGATTTAAGAATGCATATTCCTCGTGTTTTTAGCTACTCGAGCATATATTTTGTGCTGTTTCTCTTCTCACCTTCTGCCTCCTTGACCCCCCCCCCCAAACTAGACAATGCTTGCATAAACAAGAGCACGCAGAAGTACTGCCTATTGGCTTACCCCGTGCAGTCGCGCATGTGCAGCATGAGGAACTTGGTCGACCGGCAGACCTCGGCGTGCTTGGGGTTGGCGTGGTGCCCGGGGCACGTCCTGGCGTGGGACATGAGCACCAGCAGGCGGGACGCCTGGAAGGTCGACAGGCGGCCCTCCTTGCAGCCGGCCTGCGAGTCCCCCGCGATGATGTCCGTGTCGAAGGCGGCTATCCCTTCCCTCTCCCTGCCGTCATCGGTAACGTCGTCGTCGCTGTCGGAGCACGACTCGCTGCCGTACCTGCGGAGCGAGAGAGGGGAGGGGGGTCCGTCAAGGGGCGGGGGGGGGGGGGGGGGGGGGGTTGGGGGGTTTGGGGGGGTCTGCAGGCACCTCATTCAAGGGAGGAGGAAGCAGTGCAACCAAAAGGTGCCTCGTGACTTATAAAAAACTACCAAGGGCTAGGTCGCCAGCGATCATTCGAATATAGCGGTCAAACCCAAGACAACTATTATAGTCGACAAAAAAAAAAAAAACGCATCCATATCGGGGCAGGTCGACGAAGAATCACACTAAAAACTGACTTGCCCTGCGGCGACAACGGTCAACTCCACGAGACAGGTGAAAAAAATAAATAAATACATAATGATCAAGAGTCACGTCTCGGGTGGGTCAACATACAATCACGCTACAACTGCTGCTGCTGCGTCGGGCGAACAAAGGCTCAGTGTCTCGCAAGCTCACCCGTCGCTGTCGCAGCCCTCCCCTTCCTCCGCGCACACGGCGTGGATGTAGTCCACGCTCACGGCCGCGCTCGTCGCGTCGACTCGAGGTATCTGCATCCGGTGGCACCGTGGGCACTCGTGCAGGAACAGCGACCACCACGGGTTGGACGCGATCTCGGACGGGTAGCTCTCCTTGCAGAGCGAGCACTCGTAGCTCACGGTGCGCGGCGCCGAGAGCACCGGGGCGAGGCTCCGCTGCCGCTTCCGCTGCCGCGAGGACTGGTGGAAGGGCAGGCCCGTGACCATGGACAGCGGCGCGGGGCCGTCCGCCCCCGACAACGAAGGCGAGAGCTCCGCCACCGGTCGCTTTCGGGCGGCCGTGATCAGCGACGGACACGCCGCCTGTCCGCAGCGGCACTCCTGTTTCGGAGCTACCGCTGCCGGTGCCGGCAAAACGGAGGCGGCAGCGGCAGCAGTGGGAGCGGGTGGTGATGCCGGAGAAGGAGCGGACGCTCCCGCGGCAGGCAGGAACTCCATCTTGACCACCGCGGCCGGCGCAGTGACGGCGACAGCACTAGCCCCTGCTGCCGTCGTAGGCCTAGGGCCGACCGCAGCAGCAGCATGCTGCGAGGCCTTGCTGGGCTCAGTGGCGGTGGGCTCGATCGAAACCTCGATGCCCGACGCTCCTGCTCGCGCCGCACCGCCGCCGCCGGCCTCCATCTCGGTGTCCAGGACGGTACTCATCAGGAAGGCATCGGGAGCGAACAGCTCCGACAGCTCTCCCATCTCCTGGTCGATGCCGCTCTTGGTGGCAGAAGCGCCCCCAGCGGCAACCCCCTGCTGTACCGCGCCCGCTTCTAGACCAGCGCTGCCGTCGGGCCGGGCCTCGGTCTTGATTGCTTTGGCGGCTCTCGTTGCCGCCGCCGCCGCCGCCAGCAAGGACGGCTCGCCGGAGCTGACCGCAGACGGGCTGCACGGCGTGCTGCTGCTGCCGCTGCAGTCCGCATCGACGGAGAGCGAATCGTCCGAGAGTTCTTCCCCGTCCGTGGATGCCGTCGAAGACGACGACCTAGTGGAGATGGAGCTCCACCGACCGGCGCGTTGCTGCCCCTCGGGAAGAAAAGGGTCTTTGCCCCCCTATGTCGGAAAATATTTGAGATTGAATGCGAGGACGGTTACAGGATTACAGGAGAGGAAGTCGTGAGTTCGGTGGGATACGACCGTGTAACCGTGAGTGCGTCCAGTATTTCGGCGAGCGAAACGAACGTGCCGAGTACCGAGCTGACCAGCCAAGACCAAAGAACAGCCTGCCATCGAAAACGAGGCACCACCGCCAACAACGTTGCGCGCTACTGTACCATTTTGTCAACAAACGCCCGAAATAGCAGCAGCCGAAAAAGACATACACACCTGTCCCAGGTCGTACAGGTCAAGACCGATCCCCGACCCGTGGGCATCGTCGTCGCAGTCCTCCCCCCCGACTAGAAAAACGTCTCCTCCCTCCTGATCCCCGCACAGGTCGCCCAGGTCCGCGAAGGACAGCGAAGAGCACGCTCTCGGCAGCGACGCCGAAGACGTCGTCCCAGACAACTGCCCGCCGGAATCGCACGTGGAAATGTTCACGCGGCCGCCGCCGCCGCCGCCGCCGCCGCTCTCGTTGGAGGACGACGGGGGGAGAGTAGGGGAGGGCGACCCAACCACCCAGCCGTCGCTGACCGCGGTGGCGCCGTCCTTGCCGCCGCCGACGCCCCCGAGGAAGAGGCTTCCGCTGGGGGGGGGAGGCGTGTTGCCGCCGGCGTCGGTGCCGATGGTTTCGGTAGACGGCGTAGCCGTTGCGGCGGTGGAGGGGGAGGACTGCTGCTGCTGCTGCGCCAGTTGCGCCAGCATGCGTTCCTTTACCGGGAGAAGTCGGTGTGTTATGTGTTCCTGTTTTGTCATTCAATGTAACAGCAAGGCGCATGATGCGCGACAGCAGCAGCAGCAGCAGCAGCAGCAGCGGAGGAACGGTGGACCGTGAGACAAAAATCTACAAAACAAAAGTGCGAGTGATGCATGCTTCACACCGAAATATTTGCACAACTCATGTACATTCAAGCGATACGACGGCGAACATGTCGCGCAACCATGCCTTACGCGATAGCTCCAGTATCGACTCTATAGTATAAGGACATTACGGAGAGACGTGGGCAAGGACCCGAGGCGCATCGACCAAGTTGAATACTGAATAATAGTACTAAATGGCACATGGCTGCACACAAAGACGCCGCAGAAGGACAAGAACCGCGAAACAACCGATGCATGTCTTCCCAAAACCCAACGCTAACGACGAATTGTCAAAATTACCCGGACACCATGTATGCATACAAACACCAATTTTTGTATGCGGTAATATTGTGCAAGTGTGGAATATTGCTCTTTTTTTTATATTTGTCCCTTTTGTTCCTTTTGGTACGGCAGATAACATGACATGTTTCAACTCACACAGCAGTTCACCTTTCAACGACACACATCAACATCTCTCTTTAAGGACGAAGGGCCAGAAAACATATATCTGCTGGCCGCTACCGGTATATATTTCTTGTCCCACAGCCACGAGGTAAATTTTGCTTTGCTAAGTCCACGGGCTGTGTGCGCTATAATGTATTGCTGTTGTCTTCACATGAAAATCGTTCCCAGGTGTAACGAACACTGCTGTGTGAGGTGAAAGGGAACATCAGGGATGTACAACTGTAGTTGCAGTGTCAGCGGCAGTACGCAGGTTATATAGCAGGTATGGCACAACAAGGCACGACCAGCAAGCTACATACCTACATAACTGCAACAACCAAGCCATCGTAAAATGGGTCCGAAAAACTATGTACCACTACCGCGCAAGCATGCATCACGGAATTACAGCAGCAGCAGCGACAAAAGGTCGCAGTCATTTCTAAAAGAAATTAAAACAGCAGTCATCATCTCAGTTCCTCTATTTCAGGCATTCAGATAACGCATACTTGCTGTATTCCATTCTTGTATTCTCGTTGTGGCAAGCGGAGTACGGACGTACGGATACACATGCGGAGATTCACAGCAGGTGTACCATACTTCTTCATCATACCATACAGCAGCCACTATGTACAAACGTGGGCAGTTCACATATATGTGTGCAGCAAGAGGTGGTGGTGATCTGCATCAACACCTCTCTTGGGCATTCTAGACTGTAGTCATGCCATGCCGGGCATCTGAATCCGATTCTCTGAGACATGCACGCATCGCTCGCCGTTCATGCTATGCCATCAGAAACGCTCTCCTCTTTGTGTTGTGCGGAACACGCAGGAGCGATATCTATGCATCTACAGTACCCTACCGCCCTGGACGTTTGCTGGGTAGGGCTGGTACAAGCCACATCTACATGTCATATTACGAAGATAAAGATTCGATGTGTAGTCTACTGCTGTCCCAGGTTGAATTAGACTACAGTGGGGGGCCCTCTATAGTGCCGGTACGTGCGCAGGGCGTTCACCGGCACTATAGCGGGCACCGGCACAACTGGGAATAGTGCCTCAATAGTGCCAAACGGCACTATTCGGGTGATCGATATCCCTCAGTAGTGCCGGTCTGGCACTACTGAGGCACTGCTGTTTGAGTTCATGGTGTATCGCTTACCATTTGCGAGGCCAACAGAGTAGCATGTGGATCGAGTGTGGTGAATATACTTTGTGGGCGGCAGGGGCAGCCTTTTCTGAGACAAATGTGGGTTTCACTCTGATAGCTGAGTTTGCCGCGAAACCATTCCCGCATGCACGCGCAGAATTCACCTTCGGAGCCAAACCCCGTGTACAGCTCCCGTCCGTGCAACTTAGTATACTTGAAAAAATGTCACGTTCCTCGCTGCCTCCCTACGATGTTGCGTGATGAGACACGCCAACAAAACCAATAAACGCGCCAGCAACGAAGCGGACAAAAATAAAACAAAACAAAAAGAAAAAAACTGCGGTATAGCTGTCCCCCCCTCACTCATCAACAAACTCTCTCATGTCTGTCTGGCGCACGCCCTTAGCGGCATGCGCCGCGATCATCGCCATCTTCGCTTTCGATAGGTGGAACGCAGCGTCCCCGTTTCCACTCTCCCGCGCGGCCATCTCCAGGACACCGAAGTGAGAAGACAGTTCACCGTAAGCCGGTGGGGCGCGGCGGCCGCCCCCCGTGTCCTCATGATCACTGTCCGCCTCATCTTCGGATTCCTCCTCGCGGCTGGTAGATAGGCGCGTTCCCGCTAGCTGTGCCGTCATTTCGTCCGCTGCATCCTGTCGAAAAGCCTCCACCACGTCATCGTCATCCTCGATGGTAGCCCACGCCTGAACTAAGTCCACCGCCTCCTCCGGGGCAGGCTCTCCGGGTGAGACGTTGAGTTCTGCGAACATTTCACTCAGGTCCTCGTCTTCGATGCGAGACCCCTGCTGCTGCGCGTCGTGCACGCTCGTGCTCAACGAGTGGACACTCTTCGTGAGGGACCTCAACGCAGGCTCGTGGATGCGGGCCTGGGTTTTCCCGTGGAGGTTGGTGAGCTCAGCCGCCATCTCCTGCGGAAGCGTGTCCGCTTTGACAAAGCACCTGGTCGCGGGGTTGCCGAGAATACGAACCGCATCCGTTTTTGAGTGCAACGCAGATATTAGACGGACCCAGCGGCAGAAGTTGACTCATCCGCATGCAAAAAAAGAGGAAATTTTTATTGCAAACGAGGGATGCCCCTGCAGGAAACTTTCTCAAAAAAAATCCGTACCACCTCTGCCACGAAACGTGCCACCAAAGCTATTGTGCTAGCACCACCGCCCGAGTTGAAGCATCTACATAGCAACAGAACATGTTCAAACCTGACCTGGCGATGTCCTGGGGAGTGACGCTGCCCCATGCTTTCTGAAGAAGTTCAGCGGCGTCCCGTAGGTGAGGTTGGTGCCCCTGCGCCAGCCCCATCGTCCCGGCCTTCATCTTACTGGCTTTGGCCTGGGCGCGAAGGGTCTCAGCGACCAACATTGTGGATGCCTTCACGTCGAGCAGCTCCTTCCTGTAGAGGACCTTCGTCTTCGCGATGATCCCCATGTCCATGGGCTGGTGCAGGCTGGTGCAGGCTGGTGCAGTTCGGAGGATAGAACTTGATGGTAACTTGCCCACGATCATCAACGAGATCGCCGTGAGAGGAGCAGCCGTCCATCAGGAGCAGCACCTTTTCGTGAGTGAAGCGCCGAATGAACGGGAGGAAGACTTCAAGCCACCACTTGAGGAACGTCGCGGAGTCAGACCACGCGTTGGCCTGCGAGAAGTACTTCAGAGGTGAAGGCGCGTCCGTGAAGCAGCGAGGCACCTTCGACCTCCCGATGATGGCCATATCCACCTTTGCAGTGCCGTCGGCGTTGCTGCACATGATGGCAGACATCCGATCCTTGAAGTACATGCTCTTGGAGCCCCGCGCCTTCTTGCGGTCCTCCGAGGAGGAAAGATACGTGCGCCTGGGCATAAGCTTCCACTGGATGCCTGTCTCGTCCACGTTGAAGATGAACCTAGCTGGGTACTTTTGATGAACCGGCACTTTTGCGGGCTGACGTGGTGCCCAACCGGCACTATACCAGGCCCGCCCTCAATAGTGCCGTTTGGCACTATTGAGGGCGATTTCTGTGTGGAGAGATTTTACCGGCACTATACCGGCAGTTGGCACTATTCAACCGGCACTATAGAGGGCCCCCCACTGTACTATGGCACAACCACACGCCCAGGGTCCGAAAAATAACCTGAAGAAAAAAAAGCAACTGCTTGCTACAAAGGTGGCGTCAGGTGGGGTGCTCATTGACATTAGTCGGGTACTGCTACCCCTTTCTACTAGCTCCCCCCCGCTACTGAATGGATAAAGCCTGTGTCCCAAATGCAACCAAAGACAACAATAGAAGACTTGGCCAGAGAACCCTGCGGTGTGTAGTTGAATTTGCTGCACGCAATAAGGGCAAAGAATAAGATTTGTTGTCCGTGGCTGCTGGTGCTGCCTCCACCTAAAACCACCATGTGGCCGACTCGTTGTGAGGATTGGAACTGGCGGCCAAGTTCCAGGACTCGTGTGACCAGCCCTTCCCCTCCTCAAGGTTAACTAGAGCACCGCACGTTGCTCGCGTAAATTTGGCACTACACACCACCACATGATGCCAAACAGCAGGGGGTGATCAAGGACAGCGGCGGGCCAAAAACAAGCGGTTGTTTGGGTTGTTCGGAAATTTCCGGCTCGAGCATGTCTTCGGTATCGGTATCGGTATCGGTATGAAGCAAGAACCCGTCTTCGAGTCCTCGATCATTTTTCGCGCACCTCGAGCATGTCGAGCTGCTGCGACGTGTAGTGGTGCAGGCCTCTCCTGGCCTGGTCCATCCGGTCCGTGGTCCTCTTGACGTGCTCGATGAAGAATCGCAAGCGGCCAAGCTGCTGCTGCGGGCTGCTCTCATCGCCGACGGCGGCTGTAGTAGACCCCTGTAAATAGTTTAGAAACATCGTACATACCAAAAATAGAGACAAGCAAGACGTCGTCATAACCGGTATCTCTGCCGAACTCCAACCGCCAAACCTGTGTTCACACGAATCGGATTTCAACGCACATGGCTTTCGGGGGACGAGCGAGGCATTTTCTAGGACGAAGTTCACCAAGGCTAAGCAGCGGCAACCGCCATCCTGGCCAGCGAGTCTGCGCGCGCGAGCTGTCCTTCATGAACCGCTCCGACTCTTCTGGAATACGTTGCACGAAACAACGCGTTCTCAGGGCCAGAGCACACCAGCTCTATGGAAACAAAGCCAACGCCCATCATGCTCCTGCTGTCATCTCACCGTGCACTCCAGCGACAGCTGTGCTTCCAGCTTGGTGAACTCGGCTACAAGGAAGTGAAGCTGGGCTCCGAACCGGTCCTGCATCGTGGTGAGCCTCGACCTCATCTCCGCAGCATCATCGTCGCCCGCCTGGTCGCCACCCTGTTCCTCTTCGAGCGACCGTGAAGCGGGCGCAAGCGGCGATGATGAGGACAAGCTTCGCCCCGTTGCCGCCGCTGCCGTTTTGCCCGCTGCCGCCGCCGCCTTCCGAGGTCGAGACAGCCGCTTTGGCCTGACCGTTACTCCTGTTTCCGTCCCAGCCTTGAACATGGCCTTGTCGCCTGCTGCTGCCCCCGCTGTGGAGACGCTCTGCTGATGTTGTGTGGACCACCGGTCGAGAAAAAACACAAGGGAATTCGGGACATTATTTTTCAGAATGGAGCACAGCAAGCTCGAGAGCGAGAGATTGACTACATGACGGCGGCTTGGCTGCCCAGACATCAATCAGACAGCGCCAAATAGGAGCCGAATTGTCCTCGAGCTCTCGGCACCTGGTGGAGATGAAGACGACCTCCCTCCGCCTATGCCATGGCCACCGTAGCACCTACGTCCAGACGGACGGTAAAAAATCTATTCGACGTACTAAACTCTAAAACCTCTAGCTAGCTAGCTTGGGCGCTAGGCGGTAGGTTCGCCAAATCCATCATTGGTTCGTTCCCAGCAACAATAAAATACTTACCAGCGCCGCGCGGCGAGAGGTGCGCGCTTGCGTTGGTGGCATAACGTCACACGCTCCGTGGTTCGAACCCATTTGAGGTGGCATTGATAGCCGCGAGAAACGAGTGTGCTCGCTGTCCCAACCCGCTGTCTTGTGAATCTCGGCTGATCTCGCCCTGCTACCCTCTCCTCTGTGTGCTCTGAATGATCTCCTCTCCCATTTTTTGCGTGCGTCAGCGATTTCTTGGCCATCTGTCCCCTCTCATGAAAAACGCCTTTTTTCACGACGGAGCGCGTCAAGCGACCGAAAACTACGTGCATTATGCCGCGCTCGCATGTCGCATGTGCACACTCAACACCAGCGGGCGGTCGAGAGAGGACGTTCCAACCACCATGGAACACACGCGGTACCGTGTGTTACTCTGCACTTACATGCTCGATGGTCAAAACCTGACGCGCAACGTTTAAAGTTAAGCTCTACGCGAAACATCATTTTGGATCTTTCGCTCTACGTGGCTGCTGTCACTGTCCACGTCACCAGAATATCATTAAAGAGCGAGATTTTGTGTGAGCCAAACGGAAGTTAGAAGCTAGAACATGGGTGACTGGTGACTGATGACTGCCGTAACCGCGACAATGCTATGGATGCCATGTGTTTCTCTGCTGCTGCTACATACTGCTACACGGCGTTTTATCATCATCTCACTTGCATATCATCTGAGATTTCGCTCACGTTACCCAGCCGACACGCAATCAGCAATCAATCAACACAAGATGGTTCACTTGCCTGTACTGCGAAGTACTACACATGTTTATATGCAACAAACATGCAGTACAGCAGTAGTAGTTGATACCATATGCATACATCACACTGTTTTCGCACGGACGCACGAATAATGGTACATGCCTACATAGAACTATAGTGTGGCGACCATAAACCACCCTCCTCATGTGTCTTTCTTCAAAGGCATAAAACACGACCACACGTACGTTCATTTACTAGGCTAGCCCGGCGATCGCGCACGCCTCCATGGCGGAGTTGAAGCTCTCACTACTACTATACCCTTCTTCCATGGGGAGTATATATATGCAGTATTTAGCAACAACTGGGTAGATTCGCGGCCGGACAAAGTACAGTAGTTCATTGAAGTTTAGCCACCATTAGTGAGCTCGGTTACGAACCCCCACTAAACCTAGTAGATAGAAGCAATATGTACAGCGACAGTTCGTAGCATGACCCTTTCATGGGAACAACTAACTGCTGAAAGAACCCCAGCCTCGGCCGAAACTACTAATACTACTAGAGGTTCTTCAGTGCGGGCGCGGTCGAAACAAGGAGCACGCTCCCACGCACGCATAACTAACTCCCTCACGGGGTCCCAGATCTTGGCCGTTAGCGTCGTTGTTGTCATTGGTCAGCCGGTTACGCGGTCGATTCGAACAGCAGTTTAAACAAACACCGGAACAAACGCGACCACACACGCATGCAAGCACGCCCGGCGTTTTGTGTCCGGTCCTTGTCCGTCAACCCCCCCAACGCATTTCGTTGGCCAAGCGTCGGTCCCTTTTCTGCACCACACACACACCACAGGACGAGGCCTTCCGGGTAGAAGAACACTCTGTAGTCCTTGCCCGCATTGAAAAGAGAACTCTGAATGCGTACAACGTACCACCGTGTACATCTTGCCGTTGCCAAACCCGAAAAAAAACAGAAGACGAGGCCATCAACCTGTCTCTGCCTACTCCTACACCTTCGCCCAAATTCTGGGCTGCAACAATAAACACCCTGCTTGTTGGCCACGTACAATGGGTGTGGCACAGAACGAAAAGCTGGGGGTTGTACTTCGGTGCAGCCTACGCTACTCTATTGCCGTCGATGAGCCATCCATGAAACAAAGAAGCGCGGAAGGATAAGCAAGGCGTTTCCATTTACACTCCGCCGGCCAATATCCACCCATCAGCGGCGAATGAATGCTAGGCACCCACCTTCTTTTTTCTAGCGAAGCCAAAGACACCCTGCCCGCGGCTACACTCAAAACCCCATCGTAAAACCAACTTTAGAAAACTTTAACTTAGCCCGTATTTAACGCGCGAGCGATCGTACTACTTTCAAGACAACACAACACTCGTCTTGAGTATTGGAGGACAGAGCAACCTCGCAACGAGAAATAGGAACAAAACAAACGCGAAAAACGCCCAACAAACTACTACCGCTGGCGATATGTGTAGGCAAACTCATCAACACCAACAACAACACCAAGAACGTGCAACAAAGAACGAATCGCGCGACAACATACATACGCTATCCTTACGTACAAGGTTAAGGTTGGTTGCGGGAATTCGCAGGGGGTAGGCTCTTGTCCACTGCTTCTATGCACACGCCGCGCGGTATGGCACCGCCCAGCTACCCCCTGAGAACAATACATGGACGATCGATACGCAGGGAAACACGTAGCCAAATTCAAATTCACCTTAAAAACCGACAACACCAACAACGGGTAGAGCAGGTAAATTACAACCGAAAAGGGGGCGGCAAAAAACAAGAGAACCAAAAGCTCTCTCTCAAGGATGAGAAAAGAACGACAATACCATGAAAATCGCTGGTCCATGTAGCCATCAAGCCAGACAGCAGAGCAGTCGAGCTGACACTACTTGGAACAAGCAATTGACATACTGACATCGGGCGTGGTGCAACAAGTACCGTCAGACTACTCCAGCTGAGACACAGCTGCGACCCACCCGTCCCGCCCAAATCGCAAGAAGAACGTCCGGCGCGTGCATCCCTCCCCCCCCCCCCCCGAACCACGCGCGCAGAACAAACACGGTTTTCCACGTGAATTTCAACCACAACAAAACAATTCTTAATCAAGTTAGATATTCCCAATTGCCCCCAACTGCCCAGTTTGCACAAAAGTCGGCCCGACTCAAAGATCAGGTATGCATACTCCACCGCAGCACGACAGACCTTACGTCCGTCTTGCGCCGCACACTTCCCCCAAGTCCCCCTTCGCGGCGTTGCACTGACATGAGGGCTTCTATCTAGAATACATTCTTAGATAAAGAGGCGACCATGATCTTGTAGTGCCCCGCCTCCCCGGCCCCTCTTGACGATAGCGTAGAGTTCATCACCGCCTCGTTTTCAACGGCGGGATGGATACACATGAAAACGAATCCAAAACACTCCAAAAAAATCACAGCGTGACCATAGCGCAGGATTCTCGACTGCACGCCGACTCGTGGACCAGAGTCACCCCCGAGGTCTGGAATCGGCCATTTCTTGGCAAGTAGAACCTGATTTTACGTTTCCCCTCTTTGTTGGTCACTTGGGTTTGTTGGGGCTGTTGGACGAAGACTTTCCCCTCGAGCTGCGCCGGAAGCTCTTCATGCCTGCGAGACAGCATCCATCATGAAGCAACCGACAAGAGAACGACGGGGCCACCCAGTCAAAAAACCAATCGCCAAATATCAACGGAGTAACTTTGGTTCGATTGTTCATCCGCGCCTGCGAACTATTTACTTCAATTTAGGGACTTGGACCCAAATGTTTCGTCCGAAATACAGTTTACACGCTCGCTGTCTCCAGGCCCCGACATCGAAGGCCGGCGAAATGACCCTGCACTTCATTCCACAAATTAAAAATAACGCGTGTGAGGTGGGCGAGATGCTTACATACCTGGCACCCATATTGGATACAATATTAACCCCCACAACCGTTTTCGGGGATGTATCCGCAGGAATGGACAGATTTCGCCCAACGCTTTGTATTCCGTCAAGACGACGATCAAGAAGACCGAGCAACGACCCGAAAAAAAACTAGTAGCAGCCCGCTTTCGAGAGAGAGAGAAAGATAAAGAGAGAGTCCAAGACATGAACGTTGCACCTCACGTAGTTTCCGTAAATAGACACTAAACCGCGAAAAGGCAGGGTAGATTCGCGAAAAAAAAACAACAGAACTCCGGCGATGAATCCCTCCCGCGTATATTGATTCCCCTCGTTCCGCAATACCGCGAGAACAATACCATGGTATGTACCGGTCACGAATCGTGTATTTGCATGGGTTCTTCAAGACCGATAGCTCCAAGTAACCACTCTCCATTTTCTTCCTGCTGCAACTTCTGCAACTGCTTCCACACTGAGAAGCAGTTTTAATCCCAACCCAGCAAAAAAAAAACATAAATACATAAATCAAGCAGATTGTCGCGAAAACCACACACACGCATACCATACGCTGCAAGGTTGACCCCCTACAGGAACAAGGCGACTCACGCATCATGTCCTTGAGCTTCTTGGTCTTCCCGTGGGCATCCTCGGATTCTTCGCCGCCGGCAGCAGCAGCAGCAGCAGCTTCGGCGCTCGTGGCCTTGGAGTTGCTCCTTCGTCGGAAGAAGCTCGAGGCCGACAGGTGCTTGTTAAGCTGTCCGGGACGGAGGAGGCCCGCCGCGGGTGCAAACAACGGCGGGAGGGAGGGAGAGAGCGTGGGGGGTCAAATGAGATGGGCCGGGGAAGCAATTCGTTTCGCATTGTAGAAAATATGATGCAATCGAAACCCCGGTCAAGACATACCGTATACCACACAAGATAACACACCCCCTCGACCGATTTGCAAAGCTCGAGTTCTCAACAGCAGAAAGAGCCACAGCGCCGAAAACGGTGGCGTTGAAGCCGTCTTGTCGAGAGCTTTTCCGAAAATATATCGTTTCGTTTATTCATCCTCGTCGTCGTGGGGTAATCGAGCTTTGTCTACACTTTTCACGCTATGATGCGTCTGTGATGATTGTTCTGGCTCTCTTTTTGTTTCTGTGGTGTCCTATCTATTAGTACCTAGAAGTGTGTGCCGTTTTTGGGTAGTGGCCCGTGACCCCGGAAAGGCGTCCTTATCAGTTGGACCGGTAAGGATGCTAGAAGGTACAGCACGGCGGAGACCCAAATGCTTGTTGACGTGAAGACAACAACAACGACAACAACAACAACACATTGCAGCAGCATTACTCTATTGCTGCTGTTGCTGCAGCAGCATTACTCTATTACTGCTGTTGCTGCAGCAGTACTGCTCCATTACTGCTGTTGCAGCAGCAGTATTACTCTATTACTGCTGTTGCTGCAGCAGCTACTTTATTACTGCTGTTGCTCTAACCGACCTTCGTGGTGGATCTTGCGGGAGAGACGTCCAGGGAACCCGTCCTGTGTTCGGCGGACGCCGGGCCCGACGACGTGGATCCGGGGAAGACTTCCAGGGGGGGGACGACGCCTCCGCTGGTCGAAAACCCTGGCTCCTGTCTCCCGAAAATGTCCGTTTCAATACAAAAAAGAATGAGAGACCCCCCGCCCCGGAATGTTGAAAGGGGATACATGAGAAATGCTAGACAAAGACGCGCGCACACACATACCCCCCTCTTGGGGTCCTGTATCAAGGGCCTTAGAAGCATTTTCTGTTTTCAACCGCACGGAGGCTGACGTGTTTTCATTGGCCAGCCGATTAGCGCGGTTGGTTGAACCGCTTTCCATCTCACAGCAACCTTCATATCCTACCCAAACACCCTGACCTCGACGTCAGCTGACCTCCTCCCTGTCTACGTAGATCTGTCCAAGCGACCCTCTTACCCCCGCCCCCTCTGCAAAGTAGGAAGGAACGATTGGCCATCGGTGATCGGTCCTGTGGGAACAATGCTCCGTCCTCTCGAGGACGCGTGGTCAATGGTCTAACCGCTATGGCAAGCAAAACATAAGAGTACGCCCCCCGCCACCCCCACCCCCCCCCACATGTCCGTACCCGTTGACCCACTTGGTGCTAGCTTCGTTTCGAAAAGCCCGGCGGTTTCAAGGAACAGACGTCACGCGCCCATGTGTTCGGCGGCCTTGTTCCCCTCACCTCTTCCTCCTGCTTCATGTCCCTCGCACCAAAGTCACGCTCGTCTTGTTGCTTCTCGACGTACAGCTGCACAACGCTCATGTCCTCCTCCTCCTCCTCCTCCTCCTCCTCCTCCTCGTCCCCGTCCTTCTCTTCGTCCTTTTCCTCCAACTTACACGCCGCGGTTCGAAAGAGCACAGAGCATTTTGTGAAAAAAAGGGAACGAACGCAGCGGAGCGAAAGTGGTTGTCGTCACAAGGCGAGAAACAGGAACAAGGGTGAGAGACGTGGCCCAACTCGATGTTGACGTGCAGACAAACTCAAGAGACAGAACCAACTCGATGTTGACGTGCAGACAAACTCAAGAGACAGAACCAACTCAAAATTGACGTGCAGACAAACTCAAGAGACAGAATCAACTCGAAATTGACGTGCAGACAAACTCAAGAGACAGAACCAACTCGAAATTGACGTACACACAACCTCAAGCCCTGGAGCCTTATTAACATCGACCCAACAACACACAGCAGTACACCACACCTCCAGCAGGCTCGCCGCCGTCGAACCCCCCGCAGCAGCAGGGAGGACTTCCGCAGCAACGCCCGCAGAGATCTGTCTGTACGGGGGCGGAGGGGTCATGCTTCCCTCCGCAGCAGCAGCAACTGCCGCGGCGCCGGCGGCTGTGGCCGCGGCAGCGGTGGCAGCGGCGGTAGAATCGTCATCGATGGCCGGAGGAGGCTCCACAACGGCAGCAGTTTCCGCCGTTTCGGGAGCCGTCTCCCGAAGGGACGAAGTCTCTGGATCGTCCGATGCTGCCGACAGCAGTGACGTATTTCCGTCGGTCGCTGCCACGGCTTCTTCCCCGGAAGAGGCGTGCTCGGCCCCGCGGGGTGGGGTAGAATAATCCCGCCCAGTGCTGCTGTCATAAGAGGATTGGACAGAGAGGGAGGGAGGACGTGGCTGCGCGGTTAAATTAGCATCGGGCGCGGCGTTGCGCGAGAGGATGCCCGAGATCACGCTGCCCGCCAGAAGAACTTAAGGCGGTAAGCAGCGATTCGGCCCCTTTCGTTCGCTGCAGCTGTTGCCGCGTTGCAGCACGGACAGCTTCTGTTCGGACTCATGTCGGGTACAATCGGCAGGCGTGCGTGTTCGGACAAGGGTGTCTATCGTTCGCTCAGTGTACTGTACCTCTGCAAAACGCAACACACTACGGCGCATCTCGAAGGGCATAAGAAAATACACACTCACGTTTCGGTCTTAGATGACGCCCCGATCTCCGTTTCCACCACCGCCGCCGCCGCTTCCGTCTCGGCCACAGTTGCGTCCCTCTCCACCGCTGTCTCCAACGATTCCGGTTCCGTCGGCATGGAAGGTGGGCTAGACTCCGGCACGGTCGGAGAAGCAGCGGTGGCGGCCTGCACGTCGGAGTCGGGTGCTGCCGTCGAGGACGGAGCGGTTTCGAGGACCGGCTCGGACACTGCCTCTTCTGGCACGGCAACAACCTCCTCTGTTACCGCCGCCTCCGCGTCGACGTCCTGTTTGTCGCAGTCCGCCTCTGCGCCTTCTGCTGACGCTACCGCTGCCACCACCGCCGCGCCAGGGGTGGTCTCGGCGGCGACATCGGCTGCCGCATCCTCTTCCGCCGGCACGGGGGTGGACGGAGTCGGCGTCGCCGGAATCGCCACGGGCACCGCGGTGTCCGTCGAGAGCGACGCCGTCTCGCCGTTGGCCGCTTCGCTCGGCTTCTCCTCGGCGGTATCCGCCGTCGCCGCCGCTGCAGGGGTGGTCTCGGCGACATCGCCCGAAGGAACGGCAGTCTCCGTTTCCGGCGGCACGGGCGTCGAAGGCGTCGGCGTTGCCGTAATCACCGGCACCGTGACCGTCAGCAGCGACCCCTCCTCGCCGCTCGCCCCTCCGCTTGGCTCCTCTCCAGTGGAGGGTGCCTTCCCCTTGCCCTTCTTAGACCGGAACGGGTTTGGCAAGGCGGGGAACGGTATGCGGCGCTGGGGGGAAATGATGTGGCGGCGGGGGAGTGGGGCCCTCGTTATCGTTCGTGCCGCAGTGTGCTGAAGAGGTGGGGTTGGGCACACAGAAAATATATGAAGACTAAAAAAAAGTGGGGTCAACAATGGCAGGTATCGGACTGCGAGAGATTTCCCCTTCTTGGCATGATCATGACGTCATTGTGTGCGTCGTGGGGGCGGCTGCGCCCTTGCCTCGCAGAACAAAAGCAATGGTACACACGGTAGTATGACCTTGATTACTCACGGTCGTGCTACGAGTTAGCCACAGAGAGGACAAGAACATTCGAAGCCGACGAGCGTCTCCAGCGTCTCCATCTTTCTCTCCAAGACAAAAAGAATGAAGAACAAAAAAAAAGGGCAGACGAACGGGGCGGTTCTTGTCCTATCCGTTGCCTTGGTCTTTCGGTGAACCAGAGACAGGTTTCGGTCGCCCAAAGGCGGCCCATGTGGTGTATCCGGTCATTTAACTCCGTACATCACGCAGTACTTGATCGCCCCTCCTCAGCACCTTCCCCAGCGCAGCCTGCATGCGGCGTACTTAATTCATCTTCCGTGCACGACAATAAATCGCCCTGTAAAGAGCAACATGGTTTCTACAGCGGCGTTTACTTCACGTTTCATGTGTCCTGAAAACACACCAATACATTGCCCCTTGGCAGCACCGCCGTCACCAGCGCCACCAATACCGCATCTACAGCGATACCATAACAGCAGTTCACCTTCTTGTCCACGGTGGTAGCGGCGTCGGTGGCCACCACGGGCTCCTCCTTTCCGTTCTCCACACGACCCTGAGATAGACGGGACATGGGCGGTAAGAACTTCATGTTTATCATTATCATATCAAAACGCGAGAATTTGAGCACCATACCCCGGAGTATGTGTTCATGTGTTTGTGAGCCCGGCTAAGAACCTCTCGTGAACATCTGTATACAGTAACGGCCATTGGTAGCTGGACCCTATGGAACTAAAGAACCCCAAATCTAGAGGTTCTTCCGTGCGGCGCTATCATACCTGTACACAGGCTGTCGCGCTCAAAGTAACGATCAATCCGGTACGGCCGCAGATAAGGAAGAGCCAGTAGCATGGAACAAACATTCCTTGTGGCCCCTACAGTACGCTACGCTACAGCTCGCCGTTCATGGCCTGCACACGAAATTTGCAACAATTTTCTCCTGGTCAAACGCTGCTAAGGCTTAAAGCAGACCAAAGCGGTTAGCGTCTGCTTCATGCGTCTGAGGGAATACCGTACAAGCAGTTTTGCGAAAAAAAAACATCACGGGAGAAGGGAGAATGATGAAATGCATATGCATACGATGATCCTATTCTGAGAAGCAAGCAGGCTCACAGCAGTTGCCCTACTGTCGGTTGAACCTGGGCAATATGTCGACCGGTAGTCTTCACGAACATTTTCAAAAGGCTACCCGGTGCCGAGCGTACGACAACATGATTGGGACGTTCAATTTTCAATATGACAACATGAACTCGTGCAGCCAGAGTATCGATATTTTCGATCGTGATGATTCGTCCCGCAGCGTGTCCCCACGCTTGGAAAGTCCACCCATTCCGCCCGCCAAACCGGTGACACCGCCGTTCCTAGATGCAACTTACTCACCACGGTCCGCAGCTGCTCGTGCGAAGGGCCTGGGGTGTCACTATCAGCAGCAGCAGTAGCGGCATCCTTCCCACTATCAGGAACACCAGCAGCAGCAGCATCCTTCTTCTCCAAGCCCGCGTCCGGCCCACGCAACGCAGCCACGCTCCCTCCTCCATCAGGGCCGCCGCTGGCGAACGGGGTGCCCACAGCGGCGGTAGCGGCGGCCGCGGCGTTGGCGCTCTGCTCCATGATCACGGCGGCGCTGGACAGCGCCTTGTCGGCGTCGGCCATGGCCGCCGCCACGTCCTCGTCGGAGGTAGGCACCCCCCCCCGCGGAGCAGAGTCATCACCGCACGAGGCCGCCGTTTCTGGGTCAGCGGCGACCACCTCCGACCCAAGCAGCGAGTCTGGCCCACTGGAGGCTTGGGCGTCGGGGAGGGCTTCTGTTGCTGGTGATGGCGCTTCGTCAACAGGCTGGTCGAGGCTGGGCTGCAGTTCAACGGGGTTGCTGGCGGCGGGAGCAGGTGGATCCACAGGCGAGGAGGGAGAAGACCCCGCGCCACCAGTAGCGGTTGAGGTGGTCACCACGGCAGCTGCAGGAGCGGCGGCAGGCGAAGGAGCCCCTCCGGCAGAAAGAGCGGGATCGGCATCCTCATAATCACCGTCAGAAGTACCAGCCGTGCTGCCGGCGACGGCGGTCTCCTGTACCCCGGGGGTGATGCCGGGCTCGCTTGCAGTAGCAGAATCAGCAGCAACGCGGCCGCCCTCCTTTTCCTCCTGCTTCTTGCTCGACTTCTTGCCGCGGAGGGATCCGGCGGCGGACCCCAGCAGGAGAGACAGAACCACGGCGATCACCAGCACCGCCGCCGCGCCGTGGTCGTTCAGGTCCTGGCCGCCGAGGGCCTGGCCGAGGCGAGCGCTGGTCCGCCTGGAGCAGTCCTTCGCCAGCTGCCCTGTCTCCAGGACGCCGGTCGCCACGGTCGTCGTGAAATCGGTGGTGTAGGCTGAGATGGTGTCCGCCCACGAGCCTGTGGCGGGAGGGGGGGGAGGAGGAGGCGCTGATCCCTTCTTCTTCCCCATGGTGCTTCCCGTGCGGCGCGAAGCAGCGGCTGTTTCCTAACAGCAGGTAGTCTGCTATTATATCTGCCACAAAGACAAAACGGTCGAGAAGCAATCAGAACGGCAAAGCGAACGTACCCTCTGTACCCTCTGGTGGTGGTTGATGTTCCTGTTCCGAGAGAGAGGCACGCGCGGCCAACCGCCAGGCAAGGAGCGAGAGAGCGAGAGAGCGAGAGGGTAGAGGGTGTGTACTGCATGCCGTAGGGTCGGTGAGCTGCTGTTGCTGTTCTCCGATTTCTACGTGTGTGGGGGGAGAGAGGGGCGATCGCTGGCCGCTAGGATCGACTGCAACTGGAGGTCGGAGGTAGCATACAAGTGTATGCATATTATCTTTCTTCCATGTGGGCCCATCCTCTTCTTTGTGGTAAATGCGATACACGAACACTGCACTCGCCCACCACGGTTGGGTGTCACCTCACCTTTCCCGAAACAGCGTACTGTAGTTCGACGGCACACGGCAGCTCGGGTGGGGTGGGGGGGGGGGGAGGGGGTAGAGCGTACTCGCTCCTTGTCTCCAACTGTGGGCGCCGGTGCTGTGTGTCTGTATGAGCCTCACCCTCTCCACGCGCAGCAAAAAAAAAAAATGCGGGCAATCAACCACCTGCTGTGGGTTCAACAGCATTCCGATTCCAAGACCACGAACACGAACAGAAACATCTGCTGCGTTGTGTAGTAGCATACAAGAAAGCAGCAGAATGCTGCTCCTATGTCTATCCTAGGGACCCTACAGTAGTAGATGTATTAGTTCGTATACTCGTATATGTGCGCCAGGCGCTGCTGGCTCGATGCCGGATGATGCCCGATGACATCAATCAATTAAGGAAAATAAACACACACACAGAAAGATTTATTATTCCTTAATTATCCATTCGAGATACAGCAGGATTACCAATCGTGCGAAAGGATCTTTAGGGGGTTCGGGGGTAGGGTTTCCGGAAGGTTCGGAAAGCATGCCGTACTTTTTGGGCGCGCGCGCACGCGGTTCTTGACGGTTTGGAGGTGGTACTCGGCTAGCTCAGCTCTGCTAGCTTGCACACTGAAGCCCGAGCTGTGCAGGCTTGCAGAGCCCGCCTGCTCGTATGTTCAGTGGAGTATGTTCCTGCGCGCACAGGGGACTCATGGTGTGTAGGGGAGGAGAAGAATGCTGCTAGAAAAACATGTCAGGACCGCCGAAAGCAATCAATTAGTCTACAATGTAGACTGTTGTCGGGGGCACCGATTTGTATGTGCGCGCTACCGGGCTGCCGGCCGTTCGGTAGGGCGTGTACTGCTGCTGTACGAAGAGCGAGTGGAATATCTAGCTGAGTCTAGGTGCTGTAGGTCTAGGCCTTTGCACAGCTTCGAGATGACCGGAACCGCTTTCTGCGCTGGCTGTACACGAAAGAAACAACCGATTGCCCCGCAACGCTAGAGGTAGGCGCATCAGCATCCAGATCTGCCGCTGCCATCTGCTTCCAGATTGATAGCTTGCCCACGTCCAACCAGGCACAACACTGCACAACAACCCATACGACGTCTGAAGAAGCATGTTTCCCCCAATCCCCCACAGCCACCCTA